TACACACCAACGGCGAGCACAATGTCCATCGAGGCTGTAGACATCCACCAACACCTACCTATTAGTAATTTCCATCGCGAACTATACCGCTATATTCACAGGTATAATGCTCTTTGGAGGGATGAATGTACCTCTATATATATATATACCTATGTATAAGTACACAGATAACACAGGTATTCACGTAACGGTGCGAAAGTGCGCGTGTCGGTACGACCACGTACATAAAAGAGATTCGAGAGCGAGGTGGTGGGGGAGGAGTTAGATCGTGGATAAAGGTCGAAAAGGGACGATGGGGGGTCGGTAGTTGGAAGTAAAACAGAAGGAGAGAATGTTCCGCGGGAAATAATTGATTGTATTAGGTGAGTTAGTATTCCGGGTGCGGATTGCGCGGCCCAACTCTTGCCGCGCAAAGCTCTCGGCCTCGCCTCACGCGTGTAAGTATGGCCTGGCGCGACTGTGCACGTTCCCCCCTGTACAGCTCAACGACGCGGCCAATGGCAAATGTTTGCTCGAAATCACGAATCTCGCGACCAGTCCCTCCCCTCCCACCAATTGATTGGCTCAACGGTCGGATATATAATAATCGTGGCTTTTAATGCGACCGCGTTTAACGAGCAACCGTGGTGCAATGCGATACGATGACTGGAATTATTGTTAATTTTTTTCTCGATTAAAAGAGCAACAAAAACATGTTTTGGATAAGCTAATAACAAAAAAGGAGATTTGTAAGTAGATCATAATAGATAGATAGATCATGAAGATACATGTTGGAAGATTCGGATTAAAATAGGTAGAAGATGAATAAAAAAAAAGAAAGAAAGGTTTCAGACAGGTTGGAAATATTTATAAGAATGCTGTCGATTCGAAGGAAGCAGTTGGCCGGCTTCCTTCAACAGCTTGTAATTGAATCGTAACCCAAATCCGCGAACTGGCAGGCCAACGGAGGCGTAACATGGCGGATATTCCTCGTTCGACTCCGAAAGAACGAGCCGAAAAAGGTTTCTTGATTTTGAATCGAAGAAAGGGACGCGAAAACGAGAGAGGAGAAAGAAGAAGTAGCACAAGAAGAATAAGGTTGAAGAAGAAGAAGAAGAAAAGAAAGAGGGGGCGAAGAAGAAGTGGCACGATCGATCAGGTCGCAAGTTTCATAGAAACGGGCAGAAGATTTCGAGGCGGAGTAAAAAGGAAGGAGGAAGCGGTCTGTCGGTATTCGATGCCTATACACATCCAACCAGGTGTAGAGAGGCATGAAGCAAACCGTAAGTAAGCCGTAAGCCGGAGCAGACCGTGGGGGTTGGCTCTGACTGGCAGGTTTCTTCATCGGAGAAGTCACCGGAAATGATGCTTCCTTCCTCGTAACGGAGTATATATTGTCGCGGCGCGTACCACCAGACGTATCCTCGGCCACGTCAATAAATGTACCATCGACGAAAATATACTTTAAATATGAAACAGTCAGGCGCAGGGCCCCCGATCCCCATCGAGATGACTCCCGACAGCAACATGCCTCGAACACGCCTCGATATGCACCCCCCCCTTCCTTCTCTCCGCAAATCTCCCGCTTTCCTCTCCCAACTTTTGTAATGATGCGCCCCGGAAACTTTGCTATCTTATTCCTACGTACATGCATACGGAATGTTAACGGATACTCGATAATCTTTTTTCTAGCTTTTTAACTTCCCTTTGGCCAAGTAAAACGGGGTCCGTTTTATTTTTTTTTTTTTTTTCTGAATTTCGCGAATGGTGTAAGCCTTTTTTATGAATCGATTATTTTGAGAGGATAGGAAGAAAAAGAAAAAGGTAATTTCAAGTAGATGAAAATTTTTCTTAGAACTTTTTTACGAAAGGAAATAGTTAAAATCGTGTAATTATTATTTTATATTTTATATTTTTCGAGCTTTGAATTTTCACTATATTTATTATTTTGCATGTTGAAGTTATAAGGGAATGTAAGCGGGAGCGAACTTATACATTATTCTACATTATACGTTTTGTAAATTTTTTCTTCATATTATTTCTCGTTATTCAGAAAGAACAGAAGAATTCTATTAAGCACGCTTGAACACGTCAAAGGAGATAAAATAACGTTTAACGTCACGAGGAACAAGTGACAATGTAATTTTTTCATAATTCTATCTCGTAATGAAACAAGGTATTTAAAGTTTTTATAAATAGACGAGCAGGAAATTGACAGATGTCAATTTATTCTGGAGACCGCCAGCGGTGTGCATAGAAAATACCTACGCAGCGGAGGGAACTGTATGCCACACAATTGCGTTTCCGCCTATTTCTCTCTGCTACTGTACCATCTCTGACTTCCATACCCTCTGTGAATTCTCAAAAGGATACTACCTTTCGCCTGCTTTTGTAGAGGAACATATCGAGTCCTCTGAGATACATACAAATGCGAGATAGGACACGAGATATCCGACACGGCTCCTCAAAATCCGGTGTTTGATAGAAAAATCTGCTTAAAGGACCTTGGAAAATCATCTCACAGAAATGATTAGAAAGTAAAATTTAATTTACTTTTTCCGAATAAAAACTGGTAACCCTTCTACGATACTTTGAAATCATTTTGCAAATACAAAATTTATCCTATTCCTTACTCCATTTTATTCTTTTTCCTTTATTCAAATAATTTTATTCCACTATAATAAATCTATTACAATGAAAAATATTTCTTTTATCATCTGTAACACAACAAAAATTACATTCTTGTACATCGTTCAATTGATGAAAAATATTTCTCCGATCATCCGTAATACAAATAAGAGAGCTTAATTCTTCCTTCAATAAACTATGCAACTCATTCTCTGATTCCCCCTTATTCCACACAAATCCAACGAAAAGAATCCAAATCGTAAAAGAAACATCCTATTTTTACAAATCCCTCTCGCCAAAACGCGAAAATGCTTGCGGCGATCTAACGATCCGAAAGTGTTCCCTTCCCGCCGAGAAAGAAAGGCCGAATTTCTACACCTGTGAAATTTCTACACAAAACGGCGAACACGTCTGCGCGCTTCGTTATCAGAAACGAATGCCAATTATACTTTAACCAAACTGCGAGTCCAATTTGTGAGTCGGCCGGGTGGAGTGGCCTCAAACTTTGGACGAAATGGCTCCTCCTCTACGTAGGCCAAGCGTGCTGTAGTGCCTATACTTGGTCCGCCACTAAAATAACAAGAATGTCTCGGTCATTCGCCCCCTCGTCGACCCACTATTCTCCACGCTTCGTTCTCACCACCCGAAATGAGGCGTGTAACCCTCTGTGTTCAGGATTCAATTGGACACGTTTATTTGTACAAAGAGGAATCTCTCTTTGGCGAGAAGAATAATTCCGCGAGCCCTTTTCTTCTTCGCGCGAGGGGAACAGATGGATGGAGTTTAAAAAAGAGTTGGAAAACGCGAAGCTGGAAGCCGCTTTGCTCGGGCATACCGCGGCCAACGTGTATTTTATTATAAAGATCGTGTATCCCTTTGCGGCACGGGGACAGATTTAGAAAGCTTTATGATCTGATGGTGGCCGACTTCTTCTATTTTTCTCTGTATGATGCAGGGGATAAATTCTTATTTTTAGTTGGCGCGAGAATGGTGGCGATTCTTTAAACACGGTGCTTTAAATCGGGAATGATGAACATTTTTTATAAGAAGCAAGATTAATGTCGGACGTGCGAGCAATAGAAAATGAAAGGTTATGATGAAATATCCGTAAATTCTATTCAAATGGTTGATTTGTTAGAAATATATTGCAGTTTGAGCGATTTATTATGTAAAAATGAATAATATTTATGGGGATTAAACGAAACAAATTATTTTTCAAATTAAGAATGTAATACATTAATTAAGAATCAATATATATTTGATTCATCTAAGTATCATACAAAGATCCATAGTTAGAGAAGAAGAAAACATTTAATTTCCAACCTTTACTACTACCTTTCCTCTTTTTAATATTCAAAAATAACATGCCAACCCATGAAAAAGAAAATTAACGAAGATTAAGTCTCACCACCATAGAATAATTACCAAAAATTGTAATTTACTATTAACTACTATTAACTACTATTAATTGTAATTTACTATTTACTATCGAGCTAAATGTTAAAAGTCATTAACTGAACACAAGAGTAGCTCTAAAAACATTTCACGAATTCACGAGCCACAGGGTTGATACCCTCTATTTTCTTATCCTCCGACACAAGTTTCCTTCGCGAATGGAATACTACTAATAAAGCCAAAAACGGGATACATCCACGCAAGAGCACACGTGACAAAATTAACCATCATCACGATTCCTTCCATCACCGCTATTCTACCCTTATCGTGGAAAAGATCGTAAACAATGGGGCAGAGATAATTCATCGCCAGTCTGTGCACGTATCCGCGCGTAAGAGCATAGATATTCGTCGTGTGCAACTCGTCGCGCGTTAGAAAGAGCGAAGGATCGAAAATGGATTTTTCGAAATGTAATTTTCCCGGCAAGGAAACGAAGCGCACGCGTGCTTTTCGCGGATATTCACGCGAATTTCGAATATTAAACGAACAAGGAAACAGAGGGGAAAAAAAAAAAAGAAGGGAAAAAGAGAAACAATCGCGAAGCATCTCTCATTTGCTCTCGATCCTCGTGTCCCTTTTGGAGGAGGTTGGATTTTGCGCGGATGCGTAATCCGCGTAGAATTTTTCGAAACGCTCTGAAAAGCGGAAGCTTCAAAGCTAAAACCGAAGCTATCGATACCAATTTTGGAGGATAACCTAACAGAACTTTTCGCTTTCCGAATAGTCGAGCACGAATACACATACGCGATATCCTCCCCGTGAATCCTATGAATCGATTAAAACTTAGGCTGTTTTTTTAATGCAAGCGATTTTCAATTCGTAAAACATTACAGCAGATGATTCCGTTTGTTTTTTTTTTATCCTTCCCTTGTGGCGCGAAGTAAATAGTTTTCAGTAAATCGTGTTAATCTTTAAATACCCGATTTCTTTGCATATCTATGGAGGAATCTATGGAGGAATCTATGGAGGAATCTATGGAGGAATCTATGGACGAATCTATGGAGAAATCTATGGACGAATCTATGGAGAAGTCTATGGACAAATCTATGGACGAATCTATAGAGAAATCTATGGACGAATCTATGGAGAAATCTATGGAAGAATCTATGGAAGAATCTATAGAGAAATCTATAGAGGAATCTATGGAAGAATCTATGGAGGAATCTATGGAAGAATCTATGGAAGAATCTATGGAGGAATCTATGAATGAATCTATAGGGGAATTTATGAAGAAATCTATGGAGGAAATCTATGGAGGAATCTATAGACATTGTATGTAAATTTTTTTGATGGATTTAGAAAATAATAAAATCCTTCATATACGAAAAAATATAAAATAAAATTATCGATATATTTTACCTTTTATTTAATTTAAAATAATAATTGTTTATAAAGATATCGTGTTCACATTGCAAATGTAAATTTAGAATATCATTATTTTATTTCAATGAAGGAATTTTTGTTGTATCTGCTTCGTAGAACAAAAATATTTTGATTAAAAACTTTTGCAATATTCGAAATACAAAGCAACATGATGTTTGAAATATACAATATCTCGTAGTGCAACATAACACGTAGTTAACAAGAGGGAGAAATGGAACAGAGAACAAAAATGTACAGTTCTGTATTATTTGAGAATATTAGATGGAATTTAAGATATTAAATTCCAATCAGTTGAAAGAATTTTATTGTAAAAAAATTCGAATTCTATAAAAACTTGTATTTATTACCAAGAAAATACGTGAAAGCGAAAGTATTATTATATTTAATCCGTCTAATCTATTTCAAAATAATTCAATTTGAAAATCTATATTGATCGAGATATTAAATATTCTAAAATTACTATTCTTACAATATTCTATGACTTAATCGAATTGTTATTAAATATATTGATATTTGAAATTTTTTAAAATTCTAAAATTTTGATCGAACTATAAAAAAATTACTATCATTTTATCATTAATTTCAACAGCATTATTCCTATCGTAAAAATTATTAAAACAAAATCTCTCAGAAGAGATTTTTCAATGTACCATACTCGAACAATTTTTAATCCCCGACTAGAACAGAATTTCGTGAAACAATTTGAAGTAGATACAACAATGATTCTCCTCATTGAAAATTCTCTATCAAACAGGGTGATGATCGTTATGCAAGTGAAGGCTGAACACTAGCTGCCAGCTACAGAATCATTTTCAAACATTTTGGACCATATTTCAAGCACTGCTGAAAATCGATTAAACATCAAGAGGCGCGTTTTCATCGAGGAACATATAATTTCGAACCATAACAGATTGTAAATATAATACGTGTAAAAAATAAACGGATTATTAAACTACTATTCCATTAAATATAAAATTTAATTTTTAAAGCAACTGCATTTCCTTGTATTTCGATATCGTTAAAAAAAAATTGAACGCAATTGATTTAGAACTTCGAAAAAAAAAAGAAAAAAATAGTACGAAATTTCATATATAAATGAATATAATTTCATCCTTCTTTATTTATTACTCTTCTAATTTGAACGAATTACACGAGAGTAAATATCGATTGATCGATTATTATTTATCACATTTACCATAGGAAAATCATGTTAGAGCGATACCTATCAGATCAATGAAATTTATCGCAGTGTTGTAACGATAATTACGTAGCGACGCGTTAATAGGTATTACTGTGAGCATCCAGAGCCACGTGCAACCATTAACGAAATCCTACGTGAGAAAGGTTTCGATCGACGAGTCGATTTTAATTACGTTGTCATTCTCTTCAATTTACAAACTGCAAATTACGCCCCTACTTCTACAATTATGCTATTTTCCCGAACTTTTATTCCCGAATTTATCTATTTATTTGCCAAAATTAATTTTCCTCTTTCGCTAATACACACAGCGGATATTTATGCATGTATCGTAATAAGCAACATATATGCAAATTTTGTCGCATTTATGTAACATGTATGTATACAAAATACAAAATAATTGTATTTGTAATTTGAAATTGAAAATTGAATTGAAATTATCGATTAGAATATCTAAAGTAGGAATACTTTTAAATAAATTTTCATTATTTTTAAAAAGAATATAATTTTGTTATCTATGAACCGAATAATCTTTTACTTTAATGAAATTTTGCTTTATATAGATATGAATACAGGAGATACACCTAATCCACATAATCTAATCAACTGAATTTTATTTATATCGATTACTTTGATCATTGAAATAAGAACAACTCCGATTGTTTTCATCAATGATACGATACAATTTTCGATTCCTCCGATGACAAAATAATTCTCTATCCATCTTAGTATCTTTTTTCAATTAATATCTGCATTTGAATAAACATCTGTTTACAATAATACAAATGTATCCGTATGCTCCTACTTTTTATCGATGAACATTATTACAAACAGTAGGATTTATATAGTTATCGAAAAAAAATGTTGGACACGTAGAATCGTTCGAATGAAATAGAAAGAAGAGGAGTCTTTTTGCTGACCGTATCAAACAAATTGGCTTCGAATTCAATTATTCCCGTATTCACTGTATCAGCACCGATGTCGGAGAAAATCTGAGACTACCTCGACCCGAATGAATGGGCTTTTAAATTTCGCTGTTATTACATTGACCGTCGATAACCGGTGATTCGATCCGACAATTATACGGCGTGCAGATGTACTACTTGAAATTGATATTCTGATTTAAATAAATTAATAGGGGAAAAAATCGGTGAATCGATGGAAGGACTAATTATATTCTTGTTTTCAAGATTTCACAAGACTTATATTTTCTTTAAAAATATGGTGGCTGCAAAAATTATTTGCACGTAATTTTATTTTTCAATAAAATATTTCTTTTAGGTTCTGGATTGTATTTCTATAGTATCAAATTTTAATTTGATTAATAATAATATCAATGTGAGTTTCATAATTCATAGTATTAAATTAATTAAATCGTATGAAAGTGATACTAAACGATTTAATTAATTAGTAAATGTTATAATAATACAATGGTGTGCGAATACTTTTTTTTGCAGTCACTGTATTTTCAAAGTTTCAAACAATAAAGATAATTGCTTCAATCGCGTTAATATTTTCGCGGAATAAAACATGCGATTCGATATAGCAAATTTATTTTTTTCACATTTGATTTCACGTTCCACAACAAAAGTTTAAAACGGTATAACTTTGTTTTATATAATTTCATTTCCATTCGATTCGCGAATCAATATTACGATTTGAAATCACTTATTGTTACGTAATGCTAATAGAAATTAACCAATTAAAAAGATTGCATTTATAAAGAGTTCATTTTCCGGCAATTTGAATAAAAACCATTTAAAAATTGGTCTCTCTTTCGATTAATTGAATGTTAAATCTATATCTCTTTTTCTCTTCGAATAAATATAATTCAATATTGAATCTGTCTTTTTTTCATTTCAATGGAAAAAATAATATTACTCGATAATATTAATTATTAATAATTTACACACATTTTCCTAAATTGTATATTTTGTGCAAATTCTAACGCGCATATCTTTCAATTTTATTTCTATTTTTTTATTTTTATTTTAGTTTACACCCGAAGATTATCTAATAATAACATTTTATTTTTTTAATATTTTCATCCTAAACTAATATAAATGCTTTACTGATGTTAAATTCATCTTCATTCTATTGTAAAGTTACACGCAAATATATAATGTAAAAATTTTGAAATAAACTATATTTCAATATTGAATTTGTTTTTATTTGCTACTTTATTCGAATTGTTTTTTATAGATAGTTTTAAAATTCAATGAAGCGTTCGAGAAGCTTAGATTAAAAAATCTACCATTGACGTAAAAAAAAAAATATATAAATAAATAAATATAAATAAATATAAAAATAAACGAAAGAATCATTTCAACGTGAAACGTAATAAAAATCTTATTAAAAATTCCATCGTCTCATCTTCTTAACAATAACTCACGATTATTTTTTAATCTTCTAATATTTCTTTAAAAAATATATATAGACAAAACGAAATCTTCCATCCATCGATATGCAATTCCCTTCGATTTCTAAATCATTCAACGAAATAGCAATAAATTCTTCCACGTCACGTTTCTCGACAAGAGCCACTTTTAAGTTCGATTATGACCGGTTGTATCACCGATACGCGTTAGTCCTTTAATGCGACACGAATCGGAAAAACTGCGGGAGACACGATAGCGGGCGAAAAGCTGAGCCGAAATTCCCATTTACGTAAATACATACACAGAAACGGGAGAAGGGTGGAATGAAAAAAGGAAAAAAAAAAAAAAAAAATCGG